AGTTACATGAAACAGTAGTTACCCTTGTTACCTCAGATGCATTATTTTTTTATTGTGTAAGAAAATCCGTTCAGTGTGCACTAAACTGACTCAGTGACCGAGCCTGACGATCACCACAGCTGGCACAACCTGCGCTGCGAAGGCCTGCGCCCCGGGGGCGCGGGTGACGGCAGAGTCCAGCGGTCCCAACTCTGGGCGCCGGAAGGAAATGAACACTGTGTGCGCAGCAGAGCACGTGTTGAAGGAACATGCCCCAACTGCGGTGACACGTTATGACCCAGTGAGTAACCACCACTGCTCAGCACGAGTGCTCCCCATCGCTGAGCTTGCCTGTTTTATGCTCCGTGTGAATAAGCCCTGGTCTTCGTTCCTCAATCAAAGGAACCCTGTGTTTTGATAAATGTATCATCTTCCGTTTATAAACAACTCCGTTTAAAGTGTCTGTAGTTTTTGCTAGAGTATTTTAAATGAGCCTTTGACTTTTTGAAATATTAACTTTTAAAAGCACTCTTAACAGTACAACCATGATGTTTCCTTCCACTTTCAAAACCTGTTCTGAGGGAAGACACTGTAAGAAGACTGTAGTCCTCGCATTCTTCACCTTGTCCTTGAATCCTCCTTGGCACACCAGGGTGTTACCGGGATTTCCTGTGTCTTAGATGATGCTCAAGGGTCTAGGGCACTTCACTGATGCCCCATCACACCATAATCCAAGGATGAGAAAACTGGGTCAGCCCTGGTGGTGTGGCTCAGAGGACTGAACTGAAAGGTCTCCAGTTTGATTCCTTGTCAGGGCACAGGCCTGGGTTGCGGGCCAGGTCGCAGTCAGGTTGAGGGATTGTGAGAGGCAACTGACTCAATCACAGTGACGTTTCTCCCCCTCTCTGTCTCTGTCTTTTCCCCTCTCTCTGAAAGTAGGTAAGTAAAATCTTAAAAAAAAAAAAAAGAAAAGAGAAAGAAAACTGGGTCTGATTTCCTGAGCAGTGTTCCCTCTTTTACTTTAATCATACACACTTCTGCATAAAAGCAACAACCACAATGATTAGGGATGCTTCCAACGGTTCAGCCATTGGGAATATTTCATTTAAGTAAGGAAAATCTCAAAAATATCTTCTTTAAAAGGTTAATTACAAAATAACCGCTTTTCAGGCAATAGTTCTAAGTAGAAGATAATTATGGTCTGTGTGTACATTTAAAAAATAGCATACAAGCTCCATATATTAGTTTATAATATAATATTTAATAAACATAACAACACAAGGATTATACTCCTTCAGTTATACTTCCCCCCATACTTTTTATGCAGATTTATAAAAATTCTAAACAATTCTAAAAGGGTGAAATATTAGATTTGGCTTATGTCTATTTATCTTTCATTAGACCTTTATCCAGCACCATCCCCATCCAATCATCCAATGGCACCTATGTACAAAACACCGGGATCCCGTGGCTGTTCTGTGAAGTTGGTTGGCTGGGATGGGAACGTGGTCCAACTACTCGCCTGTGTATCTTTGATCTCTATCTTGGAACCTTCTCAACCTTCTCAACTTGACTTTTCTAAAATCATCACAATACTCGTATTTATATCACCGAAAATTAAGCCTCAGCAATAACACTCGGGGTTTGTGCACAAGACTCAGTTAACTCCACACACGAAGGTGAGCAACTGTGGGTTCCATGGTTACAGTCCTGGCACCTTTACCCATCCCCCCATTCTTTTGTTTTCAACAGGACATAAGCTAACCTTTCCAGTACATACAATTTCCACCACACATATATGTTACATTGTTGAAAAGCAACTGGATTTTATTTTTCTGGAAAATATCCCTTTCCCAAGATATGTTCCATTAGTTTACTTTCCTAGATCCAGGTAAGCACATCGTGGTCTTCCTGAGGGTTTTTGTTTTTATACCATCCACGCTGATCCGAATCAAACAGACCTTTAGAAGGTACTGACAATGACGTCTTCATTGAATATGATTGCTGCCTAAAGCTTCAGCCCCCTGTTTGCTCTGTAATGCTGTGCCAAGATCCCGGCCTTCAGATATTCCCAGAACCCCTGGAAACGTTACTCAGTTGTTTGTGAGTATAAGCCTTGGAATGGTTTTCTATCCACAACAAAATATGAGGAGGAACAAAGCAGTGTGAATCTATCACTTTCTTTACTTACCATGGGACTTGGAGCCAGCTAGAAGAACAGAATTTTAAGTAATACCCCACTTTGTGCATTTTGAAAACACACCAGAATTAAAAAGAGTAAAAGGATTTGCTGTAACAGGATCTGTTCTTTTTCAACCTTTGCAATTAACCTTTTTCCTTAATATTAAAAGTACTAACACTATTAAATTCTGAGGGATATTGGTGGGAACAGATTAAGGATTCACATTATTTAAAATTTAAAATATAAATTAAAACAACTACTCTGTATATCTTAGCCTGATGCTTTCAAGAAATCGCTAGGGTATCGAAAATAACCCTGGCCCTGAAAATGGGCTTTATTTAAATATGATAAAGGCTAAACATCATGCTTCAATGATCAGCAAATCCTAAGAATATGGACAGAAATCACATTTCATAACTTTTCTTTGAAGATTTTAAAACAGTACACGAGTAACTGATTCCCTTCTATTTTGGCTGCATTTTGAGTAATAGAACAAAAGAATTTTCAAAAAAATGGTCCTTTCAAAAAACAAAGACAAGAGGAAAGTTAATAGCCAGAGCCCAGCATACCTCCCATCGGCGGAAACAGGGCCGGGAGGTTCGCTGGAGATCACGGAGCCAGGCGGCCCCCTCTCCACGGCCCCCGGTGTGCGCCAGCCTCGGGGCCGGGCAGCAGGGCACAGCAGCATGTGCACAGGCAGACAGCGTTGCTGGCTCCCACTTGTTCCTCGGGCCAAAGTCCAGGCAGAAGTCAGCCTTGTGGGGTTCCTGTCGTCCTGCCAACCCCTGGCACTCCAGGGACTCTGCTAGGAAAATGCTGGCCAAATCCTGCATGAGAAGTCACCTCTTCACATTCTCTTCCATGTCAGGGGGTTGGACTAAAGGAAGCCCTTCTGTCGGATGTGGTGTTTGTTCACTCGCCAAGGAAACGTAAGAGAAAGAAGAAGAAAGCAACTTTTTAAACCTCACACAATAGAAAGGAAAGGATTCTTCAAAGTAGTTGACCTGGGAATGATACCCAACATCCCCAAATCTCAGCTCAAGTTTCCTATTTTTTTTTCATTTACCAATGGTTTTCAGAAATTTACAAGTATGATTCTATCTACTTTGGGCCATCATATCATTGCTTTCTCAAAGGCAGAGTGGTCCAAAGCCAATGTTGGACAAATACAGAATAATCTGTGCACCATTTGACGACAGTCCATACAAAAGGCACAGTCCAATGTGTGTGTGTGTGTGTGTGTGTGTGTATATATATCTCCACAGTATAGACAAGTTTAAAAAGCAGATATTCTCAAAAAGACATCTTCATCGGCCATTAAGGGTCTAAGTAGGAAAAGCTACTTTTAGTAAGGTCCCTCCAACCCCACGTGCACGCGCAGATGCTCAGGTGAAGGGCACCACCGTGTGTGTGCAGGTGTTCGGAAACAAACATGATCCTCTCAGGGATGCAATCTCTTCTCTGACCAGTAAAGACAGTGCATTTCTAGGGAATGTTCCCATGATTTTTATTCTACTTTTCAAAAAAGAAAAAGGGAAATCACAATCTGACATAATTTCTTTCAGATGGATCAACTTCAAGAATTTATCAATGCTTCCTTAAGTTTTTACACCACACCGGACTCCGACAGGTTTTTGTTTTAAGGTAAACCAGGTTTTCGGTTCCTCCCTGTGGAGAAGTTACTTTCAAGTCAGTGAAAGTTCTTGGCCCGTGATTAAAAGTCTTTGCCAATTAGTACTCAACAACTTCAATTCATTTTTTTCTGGTTCAAGATGAGTAGGAGCCTAATAAGGCTGTGATAAAAGGGCAAAAGGCACTGAGAGCCAAAAGCGGATTAATGAGCTCCTCCATTTATTTGTCTTCCTAACAGCTGAACTGTTACAACTATTGACACTCTTCAAAAGGTTCCGCTCTGAACCCTGTCCAGGCACTGCAGGCTCCAATGGACATCTTCAAATCCAGAGAATGGAGGGGCAAGAGCTTCCCCTGTGTGGTGCCAAAACCAACAAAGCCCCATGGATCAGGTAATGAAACTTCAGCTTTTCCCCCTTTGAGATTTATTTACTGGCAGCTGACAAGGGGCAAATGCAGCTCGAATTGTGCAGTCAAGGCCCTGTCAAGCTTTTAGAGGCACCCTTGTCTTGAAGCACCTTCATGACTGGCATTTCACTCAAAAGCCCTCGGCCCTGGTCCTTAACAGCTTATGACATCACAAAGGACACTCCAGACAGATGCCTACATGGCATCCTGCAGCATTTTAAAAGAGAATTAGTGGTTTTAATTATGGTCGTAGTATGAAAGGGAACCATGCAAGCTCCACAGGAGACCTTTGATCAGACCCTTTTGCTAGTACAATGCCACGGAACTGTGACTATTCCTGGTAAGGGGCCTTTTCTTGCTGAATGACTCACCAGTGATCTTTGAATGCAGACAAGCTTCTAGCCCTCCCTCTTCATTAGTGAGCATTTCTATACAGGGGCCTATATAGTGCTCGGAGTCTAGGAGCTATACAATCGGGGGGAAAAGAATCCCTACAGATTCGGGCCTCTACTTAGGAAGTGCTGAAGGACTCTGAGTGACTTTATTCATTAAAACAGGTTGCTATTAATTAACTGTCATAATAAAATAAAGAACTATTATTTGCATTTCTTACTATGTTCTCTTTAGTAATATGTATAAAAGATGCTTGTAACAGAAATGAATTTATTGAACCACCTCCCCATTTCCCCCCTCAAATCCCTGTTCCCCCCCTCTTTTGCATTTTGGCAGCAGGAGCCTACTAATTATTGGGCCCAGATTTATGAGCCCAAATAGAAGGAAAACACAAATATAAAATTAATTAAGGAACGACAAAATCCTTTTACTTGCCAATCAGTTTATGCAACTGAAAAATGCAACAACGAATTAGCTTTATTTTCAGTGCTTCCAGAGAATTACCTAAGACAATAAAAACACAATTTTCTTCAAAATATCACCCGGTTGGTGTTAGCTTGAAGCATGAGATTATGTAACAACCACAGCTTAAAAAAAAAAAGAGAGATTCTAACTTGCAGTATAACAAGATTCACTCTTTTTTAAAAAGTTCACTTTTAGGAAACAGAACATGTCTTTGGTCTGATATTGTTTGAAGAATTTAACCTACAAAACTGATCCCAATAGGTAGGGCCCTTAGAAGATTTATAGTGGATATTTTAAGTATATGAATAGAGTCCATTCTCTTTTAAAATCTAATCAAACAAAATTATTAGGTGAAAGACTGTGAAAGTAGGAGGAATGTTCAAAAGATTCTCACTGAAATGCTAATTTGGGGACACGGGATAAACAGATTTTGCATAAATAGCACAACTCAGTCACTAAACCCCCCACGGAAAGCTACTGCTACACTGTGTTACTTCTATCTGGGAAGTGACTTAGTCTTCAATTTTTTAATCCAGTTTCTTTTCTTGGAGGAAGAAGTTTTGGACCTCGAAATTTTAGAAGCAGGATGACAAGCAGGTTCTCCACGTTTTGCTGTCTCAGACATTTTTCATATTTCTCAGACTTTGCAGTTCTTTTCTGAGGTGCTTCAGAGCGACTGAAATATCAGCCAGCTGGGGGTCGCTCGGCACCTTCTGCGTGTACAGACGTAGGTGTCTGATGGTCTCCGACAGCAAGCGCTCGGGGTCCGCGCCTCGGTCCCGCAGGTGCAGCATCCGCTCGCAGGCGATGGCGTAGTTCTTGTGCCAGTTCGCTGGGTGTTCCTTTTGTAAATAAACAATCTCCTTATAAAGCTGGAAGGCAGCAAAAATGTTGGTATTTCATTATTAAACCTGGACTGTTCTTCAAAAATCGGGAAACACAGACAAATTAAAAACACGAGAAAAATGAAAGTCCCAAGCAGCCCATAGTAAACGTCTAATCGTTGCTAGGCCGTGCAGAAAATGCGGGGATGCTGCTGTAATTACTGCAGTAGCAGCAGGCGCGTGTGCTTCATCTAAAACTGCTTCTGGGGTTTTTCAGATGGCGCAGAGGGAACCTAGGACACAGTGTGTCAGGACAAAATGCTCTTCCTCCAGAAAGATGTTCTGGGAAAGGGGATTTAGTTCTAATTCATGGAAAGCTATTTACTCAATAGGCAGAAGGTTGAAACTCTAAATTTAGCTGTTGGAGGAAAAAAATAGCTTTCTTTAGAAAACTGCATGGAAAAAGAACTTGAAGGAATGTAAATTTAGTCCCTCACGTTCACATGAATTTCTCCCTACATTAAAAACAACAGTAATAATGACAGTAACAGTAAAACTCGAACAAATCCAGCACTGACAAGGCTGGGCATGATAGAATTTAAGAGACATCCTTAAAGCAAGATATTAAAAATCTTCATAGTCTCCTATAATTACAATTTTGGTAGTGAAAACTTTGCTCACATATATTAGGAATTTTATTTCTCAACATCGGAGACAGTATTAATTGGACAGACTTAGAATTTTTGATACAGAATTTTCTGGTGGAAAAACATGAAAATTTAACAGAAGTAGACACGTATCTGCAGAACGGGAGGCTATACCTGGTCATTTGGGGGTTTCACAGCCTTCTCGGGGACTGCCGAGTTGGAGACGGAGCCACAGGCATTTGAGTTTGCCCGTGGACTCCATGAGAGCGTGGAACAAGCAAGGATGCTTTCTCTAGGGACAGTGCTTTTTCATTAGAGATGTATTTGTCCTATTATTCAATGGAAAGGGACCCAATATATTATCTATTTCCCCAACACCTACTCCAGGGCAGACCAATTCATATCTAACTTTTTAATTTTAAATAGCACCCATTGAAAATTTCTACAATCCTTGTTTGGTATGCCATTTTGATATTTAATAATCTTCCTTGTTTAAGCTGTCTTTTAAAGCAATTTTCCCGTAAGTTTCCTTCACTCCACAAGACAGGGAAGTCATCTTGTACTTTCGTGAATACATTTTCATTTTAAAATACTCTAAAACCAAGAAGTGAGCCCCCTTTCATTCGCTTGGTAAAATACTGTGTTTCTCTCCCTTTCCTCACAGTCTTTTCCCTCTGCCTGTTGCTTGTCTTCCTGGGGCTCCCTGGACAAGGACGTGTAGGACGTGCCTGGCGTGCCGCCCCGCACACAGCAGGCACTCAGGGGCCGCTCCTGTTCTTTATTTCCCCACATTTTTGAAATCCTTCTGAGGTTTTGGAGTTCAAAGCCTCGGCCAGCACCTCAGTGAGCATTTCTGTAGTGGCTCCCGAGAACGAGAAGCTCAGTCATGACCCCCTGCTATGGTCCCCAGACATCAGGATAACCCTACACCCTTTTCCAGGACACTCCTCTACTGATGCATCAACTCATTCTGGTGGTCACATGTGCCATACCTTAAGAAGCCAGTCGTTTCTCCTCACATGGAATGATGTTCCCTCCTGTGTGTGTGTGTGCATGTGCGTATGTGTGTGTTACTGTTGACAATAGTCTTGGTGGACTGTATTCTCTTTATTGGGGAGATCTTGAATTCCTCAAATGTATTCCTAAAGATAGCAGGGATACTCTGTGCTCCCCCACTACACCTGAACTTAATGTCCCCTGAGCTTAATAATTCTGCGTAAGCTACTGAGCAGGATAATGTAAATAATAACAAAAAATATATTTTACACCCAACAAGAATGTTTTTGAACAATCAGTACTGGAGGATGGATTTGTGTCAGTCCATCAAGTATTGGGCCTCATTTGTCTTTCAAACAATGTCACCCATCTGGAGACACACGCTAAGGAGATACCCATGGATTGCTGTGGATTCCTGTTAATGCAAAAGAGGAAATCGTATGGGCCCAACGGGACAATAAAGCTACCAATTAGCTTCAGCAGGGGCCTAACAACTGACCGTGAAACAGACTGCCGATGAGAATATGAAACATTAGTAAGTCTCAGATTTCTCCCAACTAAACACTGCTTGTTTTTCACAGAATCACAGGGTACTACTGATGAACAGGATATGATATGACCAGGATATGAGAAGAAATCTCTAAAGTTTAAAGCCCACTTTTTTAAAAAAGAAAAGAGGGCTGGAAAGGGTAATTGACTACAGGTGACAATCAATGGTAGAGTGAGCCTTGAACCTGGACCTCCGACTACCAGCCAGAATTCCAGCATGCTGTCCCCTATAATCCGTCCCTTGCTGTCCTTAAGTGGGCAGGCACCCCAAGGGTTGGGCCTCCCCCCCTCTCTCACTACTCTCTGACTAGCTCCTTCTGCTCTTCAAGATGAAACTCCCGAGGCATCTCTGCGGGAAGCCTCCCAGCCCTTCCCCCCCACTGTCCCTTGCAGGAGGGCGTGCTCCCTGTCCCCACAGTACCTCTGCAAATGTCTCACATCACTCACAAGAGTGGACTTAACTAGGGACTTCATCTCCTAGCTCCCTCTCTAGCTTGCCACCTCCTTGAGAGCAGGGCCCATGCTCGATCATCCCCGCCACAGTACTTGGTGCAGACTGGCTGCTCAGTAAATGGTCTGTGAGTGGCGACTAAATGAATAAACAGTGGACCAATGATCACAGAAGTTGGAAGTAAAATTAGTCATACTGACTGGACACCATGCTATTTTGACTTAGCACCAAACAAATGCCCTGGCTGAGCGGGCCCATAGCAGCCTCAAGACAGGACAGGAGAAATGCCTGGGTTGCTCACATATGTAGCTCCTGGGCTCTGTTCTCATTGGCCCATGCCAGCAGATCTGTTTCCCATATAGCAGGCTCCAAAACTATCTCTGAAGGTGTCTGAAGAGCCCAGTGCTAAAAATCACAGAAAAGAGGGGACTTGTTAAAATAGTTTGAAAGCAAACCTCTGTTCTGTACTCCCCTTTCCCATCAGAAAGCACTGACCGTGCAAGAGCCTTGGTGCGGCTGTGTCTTAAGGATCATGACTTTTGCAATAGAGGGCAACCTGTCAGAACATCTTTTTTAACTAAAGCCATTATATTAGTTTCCCGTTACTGTTGTGACAAATCACTACAAACATAGTGGCATAAAAAAATGTAAATTTATTATTTGATACTTTTGGAGGTGAAAAGTCATCGAATCAAGGGGTTTGTAACACGGGCAGGGCTGTGTTCCTTCTGAAGGCTCTAGAAGCTGTGTCTCTGCCCTCCCCAGCTTCCAGAGGCTGTGTATGCTCCCTAACCCATGGTCCCCTCCTCCAGCATCCAGGCCACACACACAGCATCTTCAAATCATTCTCTCTGACCTCTGCCTGCACTGTCCCTTCTCCTTCTCCAACTCAGACCCTCCTCCTCCTCCTTTATAAGGATGCCTTGATTACATGGGCCCGCCAGCATGTGATGCGGTATAGTCTCCCCACCTCAAGACCCTTAATCATATCTGCAAAGCCCCCCTGCCGTGCAAGGTCACATATTCACAGGTTCTGGAGGTCAGGACATGGACATCTTTAGGGGGACCACTGTTTGGCCAACTATAGCCATTTACTTTAGACATACTTGTGATTCATATGAGTATCTTCCCACTTACACCACTTTATAACGCCAAATCCAGCCGGAAACAAGTCAAAGCTCTACTGTGTTGTACCCTCTCTCCAGCAAGCACCCCCTCTCCCACCCAATACACTGATATATGTGAAGGTACAACGTACATCATGCGCGTGAGTGTAGAGCTGAGCTTTCACATTTGCAGGCATGTTCGCAGTCTCCGCCAGGTTAAAGATGAAGAATGGTGTTTTCATCCTGCAAGGGGGGACTTCATCAAAATCATGTTGTCAGTGGCATATTCAAAGTTAAATCTGCCAGACTTTTCCTTTGATAAGGAACATATAAAACCCTTTACTGCATTATTTTCGCTTTTCTCACATCCATAGACGTTTTCTCTGGACCAAGAGCATCCCCTTCTTCCCCTACTGCCAAGACACTGCTTTCACACTGACTTCCAGAACAAAGCTTCAGAACAAAGCTTATGTTCATCATCACCATGACACATGATTTTCCCTCCAGATGTGCATTATTGTTCTGCAAGAGCAGCTGGGAACTGGGAGATCTGCCGAGTTTGTCAGCACGTCCCTGAAGGTGCCCGCCGCGGCGGCTCACGCCGTGAGCAATCAGCTCCTCAGAGGTGGCTGCACTCTGACCACGTGAATGCAGCCCAGTTGTATTCAGCACACCAATTCACTAATACCTGCCCAGACAGCAACCTGCTTTCCTCTTCATGGGATTGCTCCCCTGGCCTTCCCACAATCAATCACAGTGAAGAACTGTGTGAACACATGGTACATCTTTGTGCAGGTCTTCAAAGCAAGTTTTCGTCTCTATACCTAGGCTGATAACTTGAAATATGCCATTTCTGACATTTTCAAAAACACTGCTGCATAAACTACAGTATGCATATTTTTATAATTGTTATTTTGGAGCTATATTTCTTGACAATTAAAAAAAGCCCTTTTAATACTTATAAGTAAACCCTTTATACACCATAAGTCAAGGCTCAGTGCAATGCACAGTCCAATGCAATGGCCCAGAGTGGGCTTCCTTCCATTGCTGCAGGAAGTACATCTTACGTACACGGTACCCCGCATCTGTATCATTTATAACTTGTACATTAACATTTAGGGCAAAGTCTGTTAGCATTAGGTGCTTTAAATATTTAAAAATGACAGAAACCTAGAGAGTCAATAGTATCTCCATGAAGTATTCGGACAGGAACGACAGAAAAGTACAGCTTCTAGCACATTAATACTCAAGTCTCCTTTAACATGTGTGATCGCTCCCTTAGTCTGTGAGCCACTCACGGGAAGGAACTTGGTCATGTTCATACGTGCAGTCTCCATGCCTGGCACAATGCCCGGCCTCCAGGAAGTACTCAGTAAGTGCTTAACTAATCAACTCGCACAGTACACATGGAGACAAGGCAATTATCAACTTCTCCTCAATTACGCTCACTTTGGTTCAGCTGAGGCAGGAGGGGATCGAAGTTACGAGTGTTCCAGAGTCAGACTCCATCCTCGTGGCTATGTGGCCTTGGACAAGTGACCTCTCCACCTCCAGTGCGGTCTTCGGTAAAGCGGAGGTAACACTAACTTCTTGACAGGTTGTTGTGAGGATAAAATGAGCCTATTCAGTACAGTGATTAGTGTACTACCTCAAACAAAATGATTGCCCGTGAATGTTTTTTATTATCACCCACCACCCCTACTCCCGAAATGAAAAGTGCCACAGGCTACTTCTCTGTCCTGTTAGAAACAGATCGAAAACACGAAACTGTAGAGTAGTCACCTTGCTTGCCACATCTCCTCATTGGCCACAGATTCCCAAGACGATGGATCAAACCTGTAGTTATAAGAAAACAGTAACTTTTTTCTGCCAGCTACATTTATTGCTATGGATATGTAATCTTTGTTTTATAATCTTACAAGGCAAATAAAATAGACTGGACCTTGAAGTACTGATAGAGATCGAAATAAAACTTTGCTAGACAAGTTGGATTATTAGTAATTTGAAGTTTTGGCAAATGTGTTCTTAATCTGCATAATGAGCCCCAGTGCCTCGTGGGAGCAAACAAAGGACTGGCGAGAAGAGGCTGGAGGCTTCTGGGGAGCCAGCTGTTCTAAGAACTGTCAGGCAGGCAGAGGGGCGAGGCTCAGGCCTCGCCTGCCCTACAGACACAGCTAAGAGCCAGCGAGCCCGGAGGCAAGGGGAGAGGCCTGACCGGGGCGTGCTCCTGGCTTTGCTAAGGCACTGCTGGAGCAGGATGCTCCTCAAAGGATGCTGGCTAAACCATTTGTTAATTTTTTTCCTTCTCTTAATTAAAATTTCTCTTATGCATCTATTCTGACTGAACAAAGATAACGAGCTGCGTTGTGTACTTGTGCTGTCATCAGCTCTTTACAGAACAGGCTGTTCTCTAACCTCTGATGATGGTCTCAGAGTGCCCTGTGCAGACAGACCTACTTTACTTATCCATCTCCGGCAGGTGCACAGCAACAGGTCCATTTGCTCAATTTCATTAACTCTTTATAGCATTTTTTCATAGGATCATGTCTGTTGTCCATGAATTAGAAGCAATAATTATCTAATCTTTAAATAATTCACATTTTTAAACATCGGCAGTGGAGGCACCTTTCTTTAGACGGAACTCATTTTCCATGTGAGAAGAAGTTCCTTCAAGCAAGAAGACTAATCAGGCCCAAAACAACACAACCAGGCTGATGATAAACTATTGTGAAGAAAAAGCTCCTCAAGTCCCAGTCTTCCCTATAGAGAATTTATCTACCACTCTTTTAGGAAAGAAAACTATGAAAAGTGCATGACGTGGAGATTATCACAGGCAACAGAGTGGCTTTTAAAGCTCTGCTGCTGTTAATGAATCTATTCCACCTGAGGGCACGAGACAGGCTGGCGGACAACACGCACTACAAGACCGGGAAGTGGGAGTCCCATGGTCCAACTCTGTGTGCGCTCAGCCACAGCCTCCCTGCCCTCCCGTCGCCCACTGCCCTTCAACCCGAGGACAGGAAATTCCCATTCTCCTTCTCTATTGTGATACTCTGTGGGCAGCAAATGACAATATCAATAACAAAAATATCCAAAAAATGTAAAGACACCTCAAAATTTAGTGTTTTTAGGCACACAAATTGTTATATACTAGTGAAAAATATAATTGTTATTCATACCGTCCATATTCTTCAGTCCAGTTATAGATATTTCTTGTACGTTTAATCCATTCCTCAGGGTTGAATACAATCTCTGAAGAAACTAATTTGTCACAAGAACCCCACGGCCAAAGTGAATAGCTTTTTTTCCAGGTTGGGTCACCTTCATGAATTCCTATGCAAGCAAATGTTTCTTTCCTATTGAAAACAGAAAAAAAAAGATGTATTTTCCCCTTAAAGTTCTAAATGTTAAATAAATGTAACTGATGAAGGTCACTTTTGACCCTTTAAAACTATTCACCAATAAGTCATTTGCAAACATTTTGGTCTATTTAAATCTGTCTGGAATAGACTGTTTGAAATTAGTGTGAAAAAGCTGTTTGGGGGACTGGGCAGAAGTATACAGACATAAATGATAAAACCTATGTGTTTGTAACATTATAAGAAATCACCTGTGGGACAAAACATTCATACAATCAGAATCCCAAACCAAGAGAAAAACTGTAGAGCAGGAAAAATGTTATTTTTGGAAAAGACACACCTTACAGATTCAAGAAACTCAGTGACAAGTTAAACTCAAAGAAATCCATGCCCGTACACACTGTAATCCAACTTCTGAAATCTAAAGGCAAATGATCTTGAAAACAGCCAGAGAAAAACCACACCTTTTATACAGATACAATGATTTGTATCTGTGTACAAATCAGATTTGAAAGACTCTGAATTTCTCAACAGAAACCATGCAGGTCCAAAGTATGTAAAATAACATTTTTAAAGTGCTGGGGGAAAAGAAAAGAATTATCAACTTATTATTCCATATCTAGGAATGAAGGTGAAATACATTTTCAGATCAAGGAAAACTAAGAACATTCACTGCCAATAGTCTTGCTCTAAAAGAAACACTGAGGGAATATCTTCAGACGGAAGGGAAATGATACAAGAGGGAAACTTGGAACATCAGGATTGAAGGGAGAACAACAGATCTGGCAAATACCTGGATTAATATTGTAGATTATTTTTTATCTGAAGTGTTACGAATACACGCACGACAGTTGAAAATGAACACGATCGCGTCTGATGCGACACACACGATGACACAATCGAAGGGGGTGGTGAAAGGGACACAGGGCAGCGGGCTTTCTGCATCCCACCCGCAGCACTGAAGCATCCACCCTAAACAGGCTGTGAAGAGTTAAGTGTGTGCGCTGGAATCCCAAGAGCAACCACTAAAAATAATTTACCAAGAAACATAGTAAAAATCCCAATAAATAATTTAAGATGGAATGCTAAAAAAAATCAATTTATCTAAAAGAAGGCAGGAAAGGGGAAACAGTGGAATAAAAAATAGAGGGAAAAAACAATAAGCAAATAATAAATGGGAAACGTACATCTGAAAAAATTAATATTTATGTTAAATGTAAATGGTCTAAGTATACCAATAAAAAGTAGACACTGTCAGAATGGATAATAAAACCAGACCCCAAGTGTATGATATCTGTAAGAAACCCACTTTAAATATGACATAGGTGGTTAAAAGCAAGAGGACAAAGAAAGATACAAGATGAAAACACTAATCAAATTAAAAGCAAGCAAGAACCCCAGAAGGATTAAAAAAAATAAATACAGAGAAAGGCACAAAAGCAATTCAATGAGGAAAGGATAATACTTTCAACAAATAATATTAGGACAATTTGACACTCATATGCAAAAAAAGCCCCTTGTCCTAACCCCTGTCTCATTACAAAAATTAATTCAAAATGAATCATTGGTCTGAAATCTAAAACACAAAACTATAAAACTCATAGAAAAAAAATGAGGAAATCTTTGTAACCTGGCATTAGACAAAGAATATCTAAGATATGATAAGAAAAAGTATGATTCATATGAGAAAAAATGATAATTGGAATTCATCTAAATAAAAAAATCTTTGACCTTCAAAATACATTTTGAAAATAATAACATAGCAAGCTACAAACTGGGAAAAATATTTATAAATAATATATTGGCCAATGGATTTGTATTTAGAATATTTAAAGAACTCTTAAAGCTCAATGGCAAAAAACAAACAATCCAGTAATCCCACTCTAAGGTATGAAAATATATTCATGCAAACCCATACATAAATGTTCACAGCAGCTCTATTCACAAATGCCCCAAATTGGGAACACCCCAAATGTCCTTAAGAGATGAAGAATACATAAATGGTAGTACAGCCACACAGTGGAATACTGCTCAACAGTGAAAAGGAATAAACTATTGGTACACACAAAAACTTAGATGGATCTTGAGGCATTATGCTAAGTGAAATATGCCAGTTGTCAAAAGGTTACCATATTTTTCGGACTCAAGACGCACCTAGGTTTTAGAGGAAGAAACCATAGGAAAAAAATTTTTGAAGCAAAAAATGTGGTAAAATATTTATAACATAAATAACATAATATTTCACCAATGTAAATGTAAACAGAACTCAACAGCAGCATTAAGAACCATCATTCCTCCCAAATTTGGGGGAAAGAAAAAAATGTGTCTTATAGTATATGAGTACATTTATGTGATGTTCTGGAAAAGGTGAAACCACAGCATCAGGGAACAGACCAGTGGCTGCAGGGGTTAGGGCTTCGGGGACAGCAGGACTGCACAGGGACAGCACACGGGAGTTTCCGGGGGGCATGGGTCTGCTCTGTGTCCTGACTGTTGCCAGGGTTACACAAACGTATACACATGTTAAAATTCATAGACCTGTACACCAAAAAAAGGGTGAATTTTTGCACATTAAAAAACCAAATAATAGGTGTTCAATAAATATTAACTTTCTTCTTTTTAAAAAGTACCAATTCAGAAAGCTTTCATTTAATGCCAATAGTCCAATGCTTCAGGGGGGAAAAAATCTGTATTCAGTGTCTTTCAATTGTTCATGTCTTCTGACTTAAACTTTTACTTCTGAGAATTTACCTTAATAATTCAAATTTCCACCTCCTCCACAAGAAAACTATATACACAAAGGCATTTGTTGTAGCCTATAATCTTATGATGGGCAAAATTAAGATATCATATTAACTACCTACAAATAATTCAATTCATCTATGATTAAATAATAGTACATGTACCCACTAAAAACATTTTAAATGATTTGTAAAAAGGTTAAGAAAATAGTTTTGTAATATTCAATGCAAAAATAAAATTTTTCCATATTGTGATTTCAACTTTGTAAAAAATATGCATTTTTATATACTTGTTATTTCTGAGTGATAGAATCATACTTTTTCTAGTTAAAAATAATTTACTATTCTATAATAAATACATACTACATTTTAAACTAAAGACTTTATTTTAAAAACTGATACCATCCTCTTCATACCTGTCAGAATGGCCATCATAAACAAATCAACAAACAAATGCTGGCGAGGTTGTAGAGAAAAGGGAACCCTAGTGCACTGGTGGTGGGATTGCAGACTGGTGCAGCCACTGTGGGAAACAATATGGAGTTTCCTCAAGAAATGAAAAATGGAACTGCCTTTTGACCTGGCAATCCCACTGCTGGGATTATATCCTAAGAATCCTGAAACACCAATTCAAAAGAACCTATGCACCCCAATGTTCATAGCAGTGCTATTTACAATAGTCCAGTGCTAAAAACAACCTAAGTACCCATCAGTAAATGAATGGATCAAAAAACTATGGTACATTTACACAATGGAGCACTATGCAGTAGAAAGAAAGAAGGGACACTTTCCCTTCACAGCAGCATGGATGGAACTGGAGGGTATTATGCTAAGTGAAATAAGCCAGGTGGTGAAAGACAAATACCATATGATCTCACCTTTAACTGGAACCTAATCAACAAAGCAAATAAGTGAGCAAAATAGAACTGAAGACATGGAAGCAAAGAACAAACTGCAGTAACTAGAGGGAAGGGGAGGGGGACAATGGGGGAAAGAAGGGGAAAAGTCAGGTCAAGGAACATGTATAAAGGACCCAAGGACAAAGACAACGGGGGTGGGAGGTTGGGGGTAGGTAGGGCAGGGGAGAGTAATGGGGGAAAAGTGAGGACAAATGTAACTGAATAACAAAAAAATTAAAAAATAAAAACCTATACCAATAAACAATATTTATCCTGTGGCCTTGCTTAGTCAAAAATATTAACAAAAATTTATGGGCCAGAATGTTCATCACTATGCTGTATTACAATAGAAAAGATCTAGAAACAATAACAATGTCCAACAATAAAATACTTGTTAAGTTATCATGAGTCTACTGGAGAATATTATACAGCCCAAAAAGATGTTAAGGAAGACTTTTTATTGAGTGCACAGGAAAATGCTCATAATAAGGTATTTGGTGAAGAAATAATTGACAGGAAACTGAGTATTATTCCAGTAATGTAAAATATATTATGCAAGGGTATATATGTGTATATATAAAGAAACAATTTCTGTTAAAAATAAATAGAATCCCAAAAAGTTTCCTAAAGTGTCAATAGTGGTTGTCCTCAAAAGACAGATGATAATGATGTTTTTTATACTTGTCTGTATCATCCTAGGGTTTTCACAAGGAGGGTGAGATACTTATTTCCGTAGGAGGAAGTGTGGGGAAATGCCTCATCCGTGCCTACAGAACAAATCCCCCCATGCCCTGGGGCCCACCATCTCGCCACACTCATCCCCTCACCTAGCAGCCTGCTAAGCCCTGAGCTTTAAGCACACTGGGCCATCCCAAGTTTCCCTGGAGCCCAGCACATCCTCTCCATGACTTTGCACATGCAATTCCCTTAAATCAGCCTTCTCCCACCCACTTGAAAAATGCTACTTAGTCTTTAGGTCTCCAACATTTTGTACATACTAACATCATCACACTTAACAGATGATACTATAATTTATCTGTTTCATAGTGAAGATAACACCTGAAACCGTATTTAAAAGGAGTAATAGCAGGGATCATGTCTATGCAACTGTGGCTAGTATAGTTGTCTGGATTCTTTGGACACCCAATACTTATTAAATAAATGCTGAATGAATGCCCCAAGGCAGAATTAATTGCTTCCCCAACCATGCTCACAGAACACTTGGATAATACTGTCAGTTAAATCCTCCATTCAGCAGACACACGCTGAACACTTACTGTATCTCACACTGTACAAGGCTTTGCTAGTATAGAGCTTATCTCATCATATCATGGCCAGCTGTATTCATATCTGTGCATACATACAACTGGATTGTGGTCCACTTAAATTTGGAACTGACTCTCATTATATTGCCGGGGCCTGATATAAGCTGGAACATGGTAGAGTCAATAAATTTTTGTGAGGCTGAATTAAACACAATTAACACACACATACACACAAATGCCTATTTGGGGATGTTAATGGTTCTTGGCATTTCATTCCAATACAGGACAATTATGTGCTATTCTCACAGCACATTTATATCCATTGCCTTCGTATTACTTCCTAAGCCACAGTAAACTTCAGACTCTGAACACCAAAGCTATATTATTATGTTCTTAGTAAGGGATAATTTAACTTTGCAATTCATAAAAAATTTCTTAAGTCCCCTTTATAAGATAATAGAAATTATGAGATAAGTTTTTCTTCCTCACACTCTGGACAATCCCAAGCATTTCGTGGACAGGAGACATGTTCAACACTATACTATAGAAGGAGTTACTTATTCTTGATCTTAACTATGAATAATTTAAGTTCTTAAGCATAGAATTTACAACTCTCACATGTTATCTCTCAGCCAATATAACTGTAGGTGTTTTTCTTATTTATAAAAATGCCTTATCCTTTATTTAAAAAATCCTTAAGCTATTTTTATGTAGTGATTCTTCCCGGAAAACATTTCCTTTAAAGGGGGCATAGTGTTGATCAGGGGAACTAGAATTGCTTGCAATCTACCTGCAATGACTTCAAGTAGGCAGGCACATCTCCAATTTCTCTGAATTATACTAAGATCTTATTTGCTATTCTTGCTAATCTGTCTTTATTTTTCCTTTACCCAGAACAATAACATTTATTTCTGCCTGGCCTTATTTATGCACAGATATTCAATTTAATTACAAAGATAATCTCACCGGTGACAGGAAAATAGGTGTAGAAAATTGGTCTTTTGGATGAAGCACAGCTGCCACATAAACAATTTTAGAACAGCTTAAGATTTTAGAAAAGCTATTATATAAAAAGAATGCTTACTGTTTATTTGTTTCAAGAAAATGATAAAGATTAAATGTGACCATTCCACTAGGTAATATTCCTTCCACAGGATTCCACCGGTTCCCAGGAAAGTTGACACCGGGTAAATGCTTTGCCATCTTGGGTAAATACCACTCATAAGTCATCATCTGACAGAAAAACAACATATGATATCATGCTTCTATTATACTTCTTTAAAGAAAATCAAATTCCGCAAGTACAACAAAAAAAGTTCTAAAATGTAGATACAGGCTCATCAAGGTATGTGGCACTGATCACTCTTGTGATGTCTTAAACCTTAGATTTCATGTCTTAAGTCATGACTGTCATTGGTAAGGTCAGCATCTAGTTTCATTCTGACTCCATGCATTTCACAGATTATCCAGAATGACCTCCCCCCTTCTTAGACCTAGAGAATGTGTACGCAACTTTCAAAACCAACTTAAATATCACTTCTTCTACGATGGCCTCCCCAGCTTCCACAGCAGAATGGTATGCTCCTGGGGCACTGGTGCCTCCTCTACTATAGCTCCTAGCCCATTTCTGGCTACACTGTGAACTCCTAGAGGGAAGGGACTGCTTCTTCTCATCCCTGTGCCCCTGCACCTAGCACACTGCTTGGCATAGAACAGTTCTCAAATTATGTTCGCTGAAGCTGATGTCTTTGATGGTGAGACTAGACAACCTAGGCAAAATGAAGCTGTGTCATTACTCCATTCTTTCATTCATTCAAAAGACAGGAATGCTCACCTCATGAAGAAGATGCAATCCCTGCCCCGCAGGGACGCTCAATCATATGATCATCTAGGCTTCAAAGATAAAAACCTTTTTGGCTAAATTATCTGAATCTATTAGTATCTCCAAATTAATTATATATCCTGACATTTAAAGTAAATCATTAATACCAGAAAAAGTCATTTTCTTAGTTCTATAGTTACCTGCAGAAAAGCTGCCCCAGACTCTGTCACCATTGAACTGTTTAGAGTATCCCAATGCCAACTACCTGCAGACTCCTTGTTATTTGAGATTAAAAAACTCCATAGACTAAGCTATTCTTAATCAGGTATTTTGTTTCTTGCATTCACAAGCATTCTATCTATATGGTGATCATTTCAATTTTATAAATAAGAACGCAGAGGCTCTGAGAAGACAAACCTTAGCTCCCTGTCACAGAGTCAGGAAGTGACAGGATGAAGACTTGAATTTGGGTCTAATTAACTCTGAAGTCTATGGGGGAGCTGGGGTGGAGATGGCAGAGGGGACGGGGGGATAAATGGTGATGGAAAAAGTACAATAAAAATATACAAAAAACCCCCAAACATTGAAATCCATGCCTTTCAACTATAGTATCTGCCATCCCAAACAGTATTTAAAAACATACTGTGATACCATATTATCAACAAATAACCTAGCTTTTGTCAGAAACTAGCCTGCAGATCAAATTAATAGGTATACTAGATATAAATGTAAACTGCTTATAAAAACGTGTCATTTGTAAATTTCCCTAGATTTGCACATGTGTTTATAAAGTTTTATCCAAAAAGTTTTAGCTGTTTATTAATTCAACAAAATCTATTAAATAAATATTGTGCCTTATGATTTACTCAACCAAACTAATCATAGTATTTTTTTAAGTTTAAAAATTTCTCTTTTCCTGGGGACTGCTCTAAAAACAACTGAGCATCAAAAAAACAAATAATCCAATTACAAAATGGGCAAAGGACCTGAACAGACACTTCTCCAAACAGGACACACCAATAGACATATGAAAAGATGCTCAACGTCACTAATCATCAGAGAAATGCACATTAAAACAACAATGAAATATCACCTCACACCTGTCAGAATGGCTGTCATTAATAAATCAACAAACCACAAGTGCAGGTGAGGAGGTGCAGAATGTGGAACCCTTTTGCATTGTTGGTGGGAATATGACCCGGTGAAACCACTATAGAAAGCACTATGGAGACACCTCAAAAAATTAAAATGAAACTGCCTTTTGTCCCAGTGATTCCACTTCTGGGAATATATCCAAACAAACCCAAAACACTAATTCCAAAGAACATAAGCATCCCTAAGTTCACTGCAGTTTTATTCATTAATCACCAAGATATGGGAGCAGCCCAAATGTCTTATCAGTAGATGAGTGGATAAAACAATTATGGGACATTTACACATGGACTACTACTCGGCCATAAAAACAAAGAAAATTTTACCCTTTGCAACAGCATGAATGGACCTGGAGAACATGATGCTACGTGAAACAAGCCAGTCAGAGCAAGACAAATAACATATGATTTCACTCATGTGTGGTATCTAATGAAAAAACTGAAATAACAAGGAAAATGGAAACAGACTCATAGATGGAGAGCAGGATGACAGCTACTGTGGTGGGGAAGTTGGGGTGAGGGATTGAGCGAAAAGGAAAAAGGACTCACGGACACGGACAACAGTGTGGTGACTGCTGCAGGGAGGAGGGTATAACAGAGTTAAATGGTAATGGAAAAATAAAATAAAAAATTTTAAAAAATCAGATTTGTTCCCTTTTAAGTATTTATGGTTTAATAATAAATCTTATAATTTAAATATAATCAGTTCCAGAGATTGTTTTAATAAACTTCAACATTTTCACAAGCCTCTCCAACAATATTTTTTCGATAAGACAACAAAGTTTACACAAAAATTCTATAGCAGAGTTGTGGTTAATAATAGCTATTTTGAGCAAAATGTTTACTTACCTGCAGTCTGACTGATTTTATATTCAACCTAATTTATTTTAATCCTTGGACCAGTGGGCAATGTTAATTTGAATGTAACAAAACCGTTTAAAAATATTTTCATGGTTTGTCATGCGAACTAGGGACCTAGGATATTATTCGAATCTAACATGAAACACATTCTTAAAACATTCAATTTAAATAATGAAAAGATAACTCATATGACTTATATCATTAGTTAAAATTAGCAAAAAAATGTAATATACATTCTACCTAAGAGTGATTATGGTTACTGTATCCATACACTATTAAAAAGTTTTTTTAAACAAATTTTTGAATGATTATAATTCCTATATTCTAAATACTAGTAGATTTTTCATATACTTACTTCTTGATCCACTAGTGAAATGTCTGGCCTCAGTCCCTCACAATAATGCATGTAACGGAGAGAATTTCCTGGCAAATCTCCTCTGAGTAAGATAATTGCATCAGGAGGCATAGAGGCTAGGAGGTTCTTTGCAAATTTATCAATCACATAGTTGGTCTTTTGGTCACAAATGCTAAATAAGAAGATGAAAAACACATTAAAATAGCAACACATTGCTTCAGTTTTAATAAGATAGGGCTTATTTTCTGCCCCATTCCTTTCCCATCATACAGTCTGTATTTACTGCTTCAGAGTATTCAACTTTATATTTTCTAAGAACATGCTTATATTTGAAAAGTGAACACTATCATGTGGGAAAAAAGGAGCTAATTGTGCAATTAAAAAAATGTATTGTAGAATTTATAATTGTTTTCATCAAAAGGAAATCATTTAGTGCTCAAGAACTTTATTTTCCTAAAAGTGTATCCAATTCACTAAAAAGACATAAGGTTTCTGATTCCACTTAGAATTTAAGGTAATTTCATGTTAATTCCCTTTAGGAACATTCAGAAATGCAAAAAGAGCCCTGGCCAGTGTGGCTCAGTGGATCAAGCACCCGCCTGTGAACTGAAAGGTTGCCAGTTTGCTTCCCAGTCAGGGCACGTGCCTGGGATGCAGGCCAGGTCCCCAGTTGAGGGTGTGTGAGAGTCAACCAGTTGATCGATGTTTCTCTTGCACATCAGTGTTTCTCGCCCTCTCTTTCTCCCTCCCTTCCACTCTCTCTAAAAGTAAATAAATATAATCTTAAAAAGAAAAAAGAAATCTGCCAGTTTCTGGAAAACAGGGTGACATCTAATTCTTGCAAAGTTGATCCTTTGCACCACTCCCTCCCTTGAGCCACAGGCTCCCTGTGTTCCTCACCCCCTTCCCCTCCCTCACAGACCAAGAAGTCGTTAGGGAATGAGACCAATGAGAAGGGAGGCAAGCAAGAGGGGGCTCGGTTGCTACTTCTCTTCAGGCATGGTAACAAAAGCAGTCCAACTCCCTTCAATGATTAAGTGCATGTTCTACTTTCAAGAAAAACTAGCGTGGATTCTGAGCACTTCCCATAAAAGAAGACCAAAAGAGTAAAAGTTTAAGAAAAAACTGAACAAGCCATGTCCTTCCTGTTCTTACCAGGCCCATTACATTTAATGGTACTGAGAAACACAGCCTAGATCTGAATCACCAGGGTAGTACCACAAAGCAAACAAACACTTCCAGGGACAAAATACTATCCTTGCTTTTGTAACCGATGAAACAGTTTCCTCATGGGAATCCTCACTTTGCAGGGTGATGCGTCACATTTCACCAGCCGGCAATGTTCCTATCTATTCCAGCCACCAGCGGCAAATAAAAGAATCGAAACAAGATCAAACCACCCAGCCTGTGCTGACATCCCTGGTCTTGAACGTGGACTGCCCTGAAGACCCGAGCCGGGTGGAGACTGGGATGAGGAAAGGTTGGGTGAGCACACACTGCAGGCCTGGCAAACCCTTCTCGAGGGAGCGAGGGAGCGGCTGCGTTTGGGGATCCCACTCGGCCTCTCCTGGTGACGTAGCATTCCTAGCACTGGCTCCACGCAGGCATCACAAAGAACATCAGCTTTTTTTAGAGTTAAGTTGGAAGAGGAAATTTAACCTTGTAAAATACCAATCAAATCTTACTATAACAAAATTCCAATGGACTCTTCTTCCTCTGCAATGTTTACTCAATACTGCTGGAAACAAATGAACTGTCATTTAAAACTCGGACATCTTTTATCATAGACTGAGATTTTTCGTTAAAATCGTTATTTAAAAGATTTTGAAAAATACACAGAATACTAACGATGCCTAAGGGTTAAGAAACTTTTAGAACTTTATTTCAAAATAATTAATATTCACTACTACAGATGAACTAGCTAGGGACCAGGTACCACTCAGAAGATGAAATCCTTGAAGCACAGAGTGAATCACCTGTGGGCATACAAGAAGCCCCAGATATCTTTACTCTCCATCTAAGTGGTCTTTTACATGCACTGCAGATTCCATAAGCTATCTCTAGGGCTCCTCAGAGGAAAATATACAAACAGTGCACATGCAGCCCCGGAACCTTTGTTTGCAATGCCCTGAACCACACGACACTCACGCTGGGAGTGCGGTTCAAAAGTTGAAGAACCACGGCATTCAGACCATGCTGTCTCCCTTTGAAAACCAGTGGAAGTCAGAGATGAAATAAAGTCCTAGAACCTAACTATCCAAAGTCTCTAGCTTGAGTGCTTCCTTTTGTAAAAATAACCACTTCTTACCTGTAATTAGAATATATTTGGTAAATCACAAAAAGAGCTGCTGAAAGCCATTCCAGACACTGAAGCCCCTTGGTGTTCAGCACTCGGTTACTCTCAGACACAAGTGCAGCCAGCCCGATGCCAGCGAGGACGGCCACCACTGCATTGCTCTGCATCCAGAACCGCTCCACCTGCCAAAGGGGCACACAAACAGTACGTCCAGTTGGCTGGTTTGCAAACAATCTGGTACTTGTCTATTTTTAAAATACACTGTATACACCTAGTTGCTTATGGCTGCTGTCACTCAGGTCTTGTTAATGGACTTCCCCAATCCAGCTTTATGTTACTTTAGTTTTCGATTTTCAAACATTCCTTCTTTCCAGTTTGACATGTGAATCTCTCTTTTTGGATCTATACATTCTTTTCAGTACTATGGACTTCACATTGAACTCCTGCAATATGGGATCCACAAAGCAGATCCTTACTCCTGATGTTCCCTTCCATGTGCAGAAGTTCCGCTGGTTTAACACCCCTGGCCTCTCGCTCTGCCCTCTCACTTACTTCTTCCTGTAGGACTGCAGGGACTGAGCTGACTGGGCAGTCTGGGAGCTGGGACTGGGCCTGCATAGCCCTCCTCTTTCCTCTCTCTTTCACCTGGGAATGAGCTGCCCACTGGAAGCACTTGTCCACTGGAAGAACCAGTGGGGTGGGGAAGGCTGGCCCTGGGCAGCACTACCTGTGACTACTGGGAAGGTCTGCCTATTCTGGATGCAGGATGAGGAAGCCCTCTTGCTCACAGACATAAACCACATTCTCCAGTCTCAGCATTATCAGTAATAAAGGTGGTTCTCCCACTCGTTGTACTAGTCTACCTTGTTTCTTAAATGATTCAGAACTCAGGTGACTAAATAGGCTATTTTACCAGGCCACTTGAACACCCCAAAAATTGTTTCAGCTGTCAGAAAAGAGCTATCTACATTTACAGAGTTTCTATTATAAGGAGAACCCCAGAAATGGCAGCCAGGAAGAAACAGAAATGTGACCGCTCTTTTGCATGGGCCTGAACTGGTGAAGTAAGAAATAATAAGTACAATGTGTTGATAAGAACCCCTGATTACAATTCATATTTCTTTGCGCTTTAAAAAAGTTTCAGTTGAAATACAGTAGTACCTGTATCTATCTATAAGTACACACATAAAATGACTAACTTAAATCTACCTTACATGGATTTTTCTATTTAACTATTGTGTTACCTAAACAATACATTTTTTTTTCCCTAAAAAGAGGCCTTTGCCTTATTGGTTCAGTTTAATTTTTAAAAAAGACTGTATTTATTTATTTTTAGAGAGGGGGAAGAAAGGGAGAAAGAGAGGGAGAGAAACATCAGTGTGCGAGAGATACATCAATTGGTTGCCTCTCAAATATCCCCAGCTGGGGACCTGGCCCACAGCCAGGCATATACCCTGACCAGGAACTGAACCAGCAACTTTTCCTGACCTGCACAGGTCAGGACTCAATCCACCCAGCCACACCAGCCAGGGCATAACATTTGATTTATAACAATGTATATGCAATTTTAACTATTTCTGAGATAACCTTCCTTTCCACAGGATTTATGAGAGACAAGAATCAAATTGGTACATGCTTCACAAACTTTCTGGTCAAAGGATATATCTAAATAAAACTTACCACACCCATGAAAAGTGGTTTTGAAATATCTAAATTTGCCCTCCAAGCAAAAAACAATGAGTAAATGCAAAACATTCCAGTAAAAAGCCATACTAATGATGCATTCTGTCTGTCCCTATAAAAAAGGTAAAATATGTCCAAAATTATTTATGTACATAAATATCACCAATAATATTACATAGTTTTAAACTATAGGAAAATATTTAAAACTTTCCATTTTTAAATAGGAATAACAAAGGATCTCAGTTTTTCAAATCTGAATTGGAATAAATAACTAAAATATAGTGATAAACTAGACTGTATATGTACTACAGACAACAGAAAGTATGCAGCAAAGGTATAAAGTTAAAATTTGCAGAAGATATACAAATGATTGATCTGGTTAAATTTAAGATACACTTAACACATGCAAAACAAAAGGATAATTTTATGTATCGAAATAATACAATGACAAATTTCAATATTGTCGAGAATAAGTTATATAAAAATGTATATTGATATGATATTTAAGAAAAGTAAATTTGATACTTTACATCAAGAGCCTTAAAAATATTCACATTCATTGACTCAGTAATTTCACATGTATGCATTAATCTTTACATAATAACCAGAAAAGTGGATAAAGATTAATCTGTAAAAATGCTTTGATATCACTTACAATAGTGAAAAAAAGTAGAAGCTATCTAAAGATCTTCAAATAGAATGTTTATTTTCTTAGGTTATAAGATGGACTATTATACAGACATTTATGTGATTTTAAATGTTTTTTATGATATAGGGAAATGCTTAAAATATAATGTTAAGTATTAAGGAAATGAAACTATAAATGTATATATATGTATACATTTACATAAAAATACATTTGACAGGCTAGAAAGTAAAGGAACAAATCAATGCAGGTTAATAGTGCTATTTTTTTTGGTTTTCTTTTATCATTGGAGGTCACTTTTACCTTCAAAGAAATTCAAATAATTGTTTGCTTCTTTTGCAAAGCAATAATAATAATTGGATATGGGCAGAGTAAGGGATCAAACCAAAGTTTAAGATATTAAATGACTTTCCTAGTTAAATTGTATTGTGTTGTAGTACTTGGTTCAATCTTTCAAAACCACCAATTTGTAATCAGAAAAAAAAAACCTAGCAAGAAAGTAATACATATTTGCTTACGTAGAAGTGGTTAGAGTCATTTATTTGGAATATAAAATACTAGTGGTAATGTTCTACAATAACATATTGAACATATTAATTTAATTAATAAACATAGGGAAAATAATGGAAAAAATATATTACTTACTTTCTTACTAAGCATATATTAGCCCAAACTGCAAGGGCTTGAATGTTGAATGAGAGTTCAGTCCTCATATTTGTTGCTTGAGAGCTGTAAAAGACAATCCAGGTTTTTGTTTGCAGAAAACAAATTTGCTTATTCCAAATAAAACTTTCTTTGTATAATACATCAGATTATTGAATAATAATCTGAATAATAATGAATAATATTACTGAATAATTTTAAAGGTTGAAGTCAGACTTGAAAATTATTTTGTCTTCTTTCAAATTCAGGAGAAAAAGTGCCATAAGAAAGAGTTAAAAAGTTTTAAGATGTTTTCCAGTTGTAACATTTGGTCACCGACTTGTATAATTTGGGATAGCATCAAAACAAATAATTCTTCAGTGTTTGTGATACTGGGGTACACCTGACTGGTTTGATAAGAAGTCATCTGAAATGGGTTTGTGAACTTCACAGCCTCCAGGGTTAGTAACTGAAGACAAAATTAATTCAAATCATTTTTTGGAGATTCAATCATGAATAAAAAAAGAGAAATGATCTCCAATCATTCTTTCCTGGGTTACCTTCTTCCTTAAAAGGTTTCCTTGTTTTCTATATTATTTGGTTCAAAAAATGTTCAAGGAATCTCTAAGAAATGTATCCTTTATTCTTTACAATTAAACTAAATTCTTCTATTAGGAGCTCCATAAACTAATTAACTAATGAGCATGTTCCAAGTGGTATCTGAGTTCTAAGATAGCTCTAGCAGTCTCCATTTTTTGAAAAAGAAATGATTCTATACACCATCTCCAAGAACTTTCTTCTCCCTACCGGCAATTTCACTGGAGAAAATGTGATGCCGTAATTATGGAAGCCACACAATGTGCATTTTACTAATGGAGACTCATCTACTATGGGAAGATGTCCTTACTCATTTTCAAATACACTTGAAAAATTGATTCCAGAATGGGGCCCATTTCCGGCCATTCTTCAAAAGGAGTGAAGTCAGTCTCAAAATTGATTCTTGGAGATCTGTTGCTTAAATGTAAGCTCTAAAACACGGTCACTGCCTAGGGTTAGATTCAATAATTGCCTTGTACAGGATTGCAATTTAGAGATACGCGTGGGGAAAGAATTTAATTTGCTTGACTGGCAAAGGGTAGATGATTAGGCTCCATCATTTTGAAGGATTTTCTAGTAAGTTAATTATGAGTTCCCTTTCTCAACACTCTTGTCCACCTGAAACAATTAGACATTAGAGATTCTCTCACTCAATCAGAGTGCAAAGATTATGCCTCCATTTTCACATTATGATTTGGTTCAAACAAACAGTGAGTGGTCCTCATTTTTGTTCGGTGTTTTTTCTAGGCATGTAACCAAACTGCTATTATTTCAATGAAAAGGAGACCTCTACTTCCCCAATAGATGACTTTTAAGTGCAACTTATAAAAGTTAGATGTGTGGTCTAGGATTGCTCTCGAGAGTTCTTTGGAGTTCATGTGAGATTTGTGAACGTAAAATACACCAGCCATCCCGAGTGTGATAGCAACCCCAAAAGGCAGGTAGAACAGAGCAAAGTCCCTTGGTGTGGAGCAAAGCAGGACAAAGTAAAAGCCCAGAGGCATTGGCAAATCTGCCTTTGTCTTTCAAAGGGAAACTGAGCAAGATGCTACCTTCTCCGGCAAAAGAGAAAAAGAGGACATAAAGGTCTCCATCAGACATACAAAGAAATATTTAAAATCAACTGTGAGAACCACCAAAGGTTAATAAGAATAAATTGGTGGCAGGAACATATTTTTCTTATAAGATACAGTATAAACTAAAAAACAAGAGGCCATAAATCATCTGTGTACTGTGGGCAAATGTAGGTTTACAGTTGTGAGTATACAAAACAGAGTTTACTCTTACATTACTATTTATTTATTATTTTTCCATACAAAACACTGTAAACTTACTTTTGTCCACCTTTGTATATTATGATTCCATTTTTAAAAATAAAAAATATTAAAAATATTGAAAGAATACATAAAAACCTTAATGGATTAATAATAATGGTTATCTCTGCATGTTGAAATTACAGTAAGTTTCATTTTATTATTTTTGCTTAACTATATTATTTAAACTTTTCATAATGAGTGTATATTCTTTTTAAGGAAAGAAGGGGAAAAGGTCATCTAAAAAGAAAAGAAGGAAAGATGGAAGGAAGAAAGCAAGCTAGCAAATAAACAAGATAGAAATTGTGAAAACCTATAACTAATTCATATATAGAGTTGAAATATTCTTCCCATATTTTTAAAATGGTTTTTGAAAAGTCCTGAGAATTCCTAATTAATAATTAGATATCACTTTAGTGTTGTAGAAAACTATTCTTCCCTAATTTTATATTGAAAATTACTATACAAATATTACAGGCTTGGTAAGGATATTTTTCAAATTGTCTTGATCTGTGTAGGTTTAAAAAAATATATTAACCCATTTTCCAAAAAATGCTCGCAGATCCTATGGATGAAATATATTTTCTTGAGCTGGCTTTCAGTAAGGTTGAATGTTAAAAATCTGTGAGTCAAAAGAAGAGCTTAAGGACAGCCTAAAGGAAAACGTTTAAGAGACATTTAATCAACTCAGCTCTAAGAATTAAAAAAGAAAGCACAGCCAATCCAAGATACCAAGAAAATAATTGTTCGAGTGAATAAATACCATGTTATAAAATGTCTGTGGAAGAAAGAAGATACATAAAATCAGGCTAAGGCATAATTTTTTTATAAAGCAACACTACATTGGCTAATTTTCTATCAAGTGAAACTTGAAACATTTTAGTTTTGTAGGTTCTTTGTAGTCTCCTAATAGCCTCACTTGCTGTTGCATTTATTGCTCATTTTAAGTTTTCTCTTATTGAAGGAAATGGTAGAATATTTGACAATATGCAAAACAACTGCTAGCTGTATGGCTAAAAACTACTCACAGACACACCACTTCACAAAGACAGAAACTCAGAAACCCCGAAAACCATTTAAAGAAACAAATAGAAAATTAATTTAAAAATAGTTTCAAATATTTCATACTCACAGTAAAATTTTAGACATACTGGATCCTATTTCAGATTTAGCCTAAGCATAAATGAAAAAAGTTTATTTACATAAGCATTACACTAAAGCTCTGTTGGGATAATGTATCTATCTTGATTTAAAAGGTAACATGCTTTAAATACATAATGCAACATCTCTCTTCATTCAAAGTCTTTACTTCAGAGTCTTACTGAATTTTTAAAGCAAAATCAGTGCAAACTAAACATGGACATCCTTTAGGAAGAATTTCAGAAATAACAGTTGGCTAAAAATCAGTTTAACTATTCCAGAAGAAATGATTAACACCTTACTGAATTGACAGAGTTCACACTTTTGTTAGAATCTCTTTAAGCTCTTTTTGGGGCACTTTGATTAGAGCTCATTATCACCTGTTAGTCTATAATGTCACAATTATGTGTCAATTATACAAATTTCAAATCTGGAATGGTCCTCATGCAAAACTTTAATGGAATGACCAACATAAATAAACAAGAATATACATTTAAAGTGTCAAACTCTTAAGTAAAAAGTAATTATCCTTTTATTACCCTATTTTATTATGAAGCATTTCTGACTTACAAACAACACATCACTTAAAAAGTGATAGTTTTAAAAACTCTACAGACCCACCCTCATTTAAGAAGCAGAACTGCACGAGGACCACAAGGTGCCCCACGCAGCCTTGCCGGCTTCATCCCCCAGCGGTAACTGTTACCGTGAACCTTGTGTGAATTACTCTCCTACTTTCTAAAATCATACAGTTTTACTGCCTTTGCATGGCTTAGAATTTTGTATAAATGGTGTCATTTAATATGCACTCTTCTGAGATTTGCCTTCTTAAGACACAAAAAGCATGAACCATGAAAAAAAAATCTGGTACAACTATCTGTATTAAAACTTTATTTATAAAAAACCCAGCTGTTTATCCTTTTATTTTTTCAGATAACCTTTACTGCAACCACTTTAATGTTTTCCCCTAATTTATGTTTTAGGGAAAATAAGCGCCTTTGAACTTCTAAACTTTAGAACATACTAAATTCCACATGTTTAGTGAAATTACATTTTATAAAGCATTTACACATAGGAATTACACTAAACACTAATATGAACACTATTCATCAACTATGTGAGAAGAAAGTTTTGGTCAAGGTAAATTAAAGATTTTGAGGGTTTTTTTTTCTTTAATCTTTTCCAAACACTTTAAATCCAAGACCGAGAGCTCAAAGAGACACCCAACACCGCGGAAGGGCTCCGAGGGCCGGCAGCAGTCTTTCTAACACTGGTCATCCTAAAAATACATTCACAATACACGACAGTGTGATGTCAGGTTAAGTGACTCTATTTTTTTCTTGCATATATTAAAGGCCACATTTCAATGGGATAGTTTGTTACATAAATAACTGAAATGAAAATTCTACATACTGTCATTAACAAACTTGTTTTCTTTCTTTCTTTCTTTTTTTCAATAGAGATCCAGGCAAAACACAGAAATTTTGGCACTTATTCCTTAAAAGGGATTTAAATATAAATTTACCAGGTTGAATGTTCCATATTCTTCTCTGAGAAAATGAGTCAAAAATCCCAGCAACGTCGTCTGGTCTCCCCAGGTCCAGCGGGCTTGGTTGAGGTAGGACGAGACGGGGAGGTAGACATAGGGCAGCAAACCCGCAGAGAAGTACAGACTCAACGTCACCAAAGATCCCAGGGACAGTTCCTGCATCAGAGCACATTGTGTTGTATGTCAATGTTTATCCTAGTTGACTCATCCTGGAACTTCAAAAACACATCAAGAAAACTATCAAATATGTTTACTCAGAGCTGATCTCTCAATTTATATTAAGTCACCACAGAATACTATGTTAAACCTTCTGATTACCATGGATTACTAGAAAATTGCATCAGCCTGAACGCCTCTGCATGGCACATAAAATCTGAATGAAGCAAATATTATAAGCAAAGACTCATAAGTACCATGTTTACTGCACCTTTCACATCTAAAACCATGTCACAATAGCTGCACTGAACAACTGAGAGGACCTGCGTGGAGGTGATGAAGCCGTTCGACTGATTTTGAATATGCCCAAAATACTGTCCTAACACCAACTCGCTTCATCATCTCATCAGGAATAGACTTTAGCTCTATTATGATTATACATTGATAATATAATTCTTCCTACAGGAGTTTTGGGCATTTCATGGAAATATTTGGCACAAATGAAGCTAACTTTTAAATAACCTACTAACTTACCTAAATGCTCTTTATTCTCAATTTACATTTAGAATGGAGTACTAAAGGCAATTTGTTGTTTTATGTAACAATGTTGTCTCTATGAGAATATATTTCTCATCTGCACATTTCTAAGACAAGGGATAATATTGACAAATTCTTATAAAGGTTAAGCCCAAAAGAATTCTGATGTACTACTAGAAAGATTCAAATAGTGGTCACTTTAGTAATTGGGAAAGGGGGTCTCTTACAGATATTATCATTGGAACTTCCTAATTTTTCCTTTAAAAAAGGGAATTCACACGTGACAATAAATGTAAGAACCAAGATTCACATTCACCAGTTGTAGGATAAGCAGTTGCCTTATATTAGCATTTTCAAATAAACATTCTTAATTGATTATGGAGTGCTTTTATTATTGTACTGATTTCATTTGATATTTATAAAGTGGTAATGAGATGCATAAAAATGATGGCATCAAAAGAGTGTAAGAAATAACTAACCAAACAACATGCCTTTGCTATTCTTAAAAGTAGTCTTAAAGAAAGTGAATGTTTGTATTTTGGCAGTTTATACATATTATAAAAATCAATTTAGAATGGGAAGAAGCAATTGCTGCAGGATTTTCCTTTTGCAGGAAATAATCAGGGAGACAGTTCCGTGCGAGCTACTTCGCAGGGTCCAGGAGAATGCTTCCCAGCTGTACGTGTACTAGAACCACTGGAAGGGCTTTTCAAGAGTATCAATGTCTGGGCCTCAGCCCGGATCAAGTCAGAATTATTTTAGGGTGGCATCACACATACATATATACACACATATAAATACACATACACAGATATATACACACATTAATATATGTTTACACATATCCACACACACTTTCTTTTTTAAAGCTTCCCAGATAATTGAAGGAGCAGCCAGAATTGCAACCAGCTGACTCAGGACTTCTTCCTCTGCCTCAGATCCAACTACCCTGTGACATGATGGGTGGGCTTTCTTTTCTGGCCTCTATTATTTAAAGAATAGAAAGAAAAGGTCCTTTGAAGAGTCATACTTCCGAAAATGTCATCCTTCACTAGTAGCTGACCTCAGTACAAGGCCAACAGGCTCTCAAAGCAGCCTCCTAACTTGTCAGCTCTGAGTCCTGCATGTTTTATACAAAGCATACAGGCCTCCTCTCAATCAACTAACACAAAATACTTGGCTGTTAGGTTCTTGCCAGGGAATGCACTTCTCTGACATCTGAATGTACCTTCTCCAATGTCAGAAGCCTGGCTAAGAGTGACACCACTCAGCCAGCAACACAGATCATTCCTAACTTCCACCCTCCTCACAAAAAGACCAACCAACAATGATCCATAGATGAAACACCGTTGTGAAAATACCGGAATCCAGGGGGAGGCGGAAGCACGCCCCTGGAACACAGAGCCTGAGAAGGACGGCATCAGAAGTGACTGCATTGCACCTTCTCCAGCCCAGCACAGCGCTGCACAAGGAGGGCACCTCTGGGGCTGTGGTTTTTGCAGGGGGGAAAAAGAGCCCAGGGGGACATCCAGCTCCTCCAGCATTGAAGGACGCTTTCCAGGAAGCCCACTCTAGTGTCACCTCATGGGAACCACTGGGAACATTTGCAGGGCTGAACCACTGAGGATCAGACAGATAGAGAAGGGAAGCTGGGCTTACAAAGCAACTGGTGCTCCGATCTTGGGGAACTGTATTCCTGCATACCTGAGCAGAGATTCCAGCCAGCGAGATTCCAGCCAGCAATTCTGCCCATCTGCAGAGCACCCTAAAAAATTCTGATTTAATTGATCTAGGGCAGACCTTAGCACAATACAAGCCATATACGACAAGTCCAAAGCTAACATCACACTCAATAATGAAAGGTTGAAAGCTTTTCCTCTAAGATCAGGAAAAATATAAGGGTGCCTGTTCTCACCACTCCTATTCAACATAGTATTGGAAGTCCTAGCCAGATTAATTAGGCAAGAAAAAGAAATAAAAAAGTACAAATCAGAAAGGAAGAAGTAAAATGGTCTCTGTTTGCAGATAACATGATCTTACATATAGAAAATCTTAAAGACTTTACAGAAAACTGTTAAAACTAATAAACAGATTCAGTGAAGTTGCAGAATTCAAAATCAACATGCAAAAATTAGTTGTATTTCTACATACTAACAATTAACTACCCAGAAAAAAAGAAAATGATCCCATTTATAATAGCATCAAAAATAATAAAACACTCAGAAATAGAATTAACCAAAGATATGATAGATCTGTACACTGAAAACTCTATGACACTGATAAAAGAAATTGAAGAAGCAAATACATAGAAAGATATCCTATATTCATGGATTGAAATAATTAGTATCATTAAAATGTCCATACTACCCAAAGCCATCTACAGATTCAATGCAATACCTATCAAGATTCTAATGGCATTTTTTTAACAAAAAAATATTAAAAAGAACCCTAAACTGTATACGGAACCACAAAAGATCCTAAATAGCCAAAGAAATCCTGATGGAAAAAAAAAACAAAGCTGGATGCATCACACTTCCTAATTCCAAACTGTATTATAAAATTGCATGGTACTAGCATAAAAACTGACACAAAGACCATGAAAAATGAGATATTCACATGCAAAAGAATGAAATTGGACCCCTATCTTACATTCCTCAGAAAAATTACCTCGAAATGGATCAAAAACTTAAATGTAAGTTCTGGAACCATAAAGCTCCTAGAAGAAAATGCAGGAAAAAAGCTCCTTGACTCTCATCTTGGCAATGATTGGTTGGTCGTGACCCCAGGAGCACAGGCCGTGAACGCAGAAACAAGTAAGTGGGGCCGCATCAAAGTGAAAGAGCTGTGCGAAGAAGCAGCACGTGTCAACAAAATGAAAAGGCAGCCTGTGGAGTGAGAGAACGTATTTGCAAACCACATATCTGATAGGGGGTTAACATTCTAAATATATAAAGAACTCATCAAACTCAACAGCAAACAAATGAACAAATAAAAACAAATAGTCTGACTAAAAAAAAAATGAGTGAAGGATCTGAATAGACATTTTTCCAAAGAAGATATTCAAATTGCCAGTAGATATATGAAAAGGTGCTCAACATCACTAATCATCAGGGAAAGGCAACTCAAAACCACAATGAGATATCACCTCACACCTATTATAATGGCTATTATTTAAAAGACATGAAATAACAAGAGCTGATGAGGACATGGAGAAAAGAAACTCTTAGGCACTGTTGGTGGGAATGTAAATTGATGTAGTCACTTTGAAAAACAGTATGGAGATTCCTCAAAAAATTAAATATACCACTACCATGTGATCCATCAATTCCACTTCTGGGTATACGTGTGTATCCTAAGGAAGTGAAATCACTACCTCTGCATGCTCCTGTTCATTGCATCATTATTTATAATAGCCAAGACATGAAAATAACCTCAGTGCCCACTGACAAATAAAGGGATAAGGAAATATGGTAACTATATCTCTATCTATATGCATACACATTGGAATACTGTTCAGCCATAAAAAGAAGGAAATCTTGCCATGTTGCCACACAACATGGATGGGCCTTGAGGGCATCATGCTCAGTGGAATAAGTCAGAGAGAGAAAGACAGATGCTGTATGATCTCACTTGTATGTGGAATCTAAAAAACTGAACTCCTAGAAACAGAGTAATTGGTGGTTGCCAGAGATGGGGGTTATACAGTGAGGGAAATAGATGAAAGTAGCCAAAGGGTACAAAGTTCTAGCTATAAGATGAATAGGTTCTGAGGATACAATGCACAGCATGATATATACTCACCGATACTGCACCGTATATGTGAGAGATGCTAAGAGAGTAGATCTCAAAAGTTCTCAACACGCACCAATACACACATAATAGTAACTGTGAGGTAATGAAGTTGTTGTAATCATTTTGCAATATATACATATGGTAAATAATCACATTGTGTACTTTAAAGTTACATCATATCTCAATAAAGCTGAAAAAAACGAAAAGAAGCCTGGCTGAGATTACTGATATCAGGATGTCAATGCATCCCTCTCAATGGATCCATCAATTCACAAGAAAAATGTATGGGCCTCCTGAAGTCTTTGCTGAGTTATATTTTTTAATTTTATATCTTCACTTATTTATCAAGAGCTTATATAATAAAAGACCATAAATGGAACTTGCTGTACTCGATAAGACCATTATTAAATTACAGTGCTTATTACACTGTTTACTATCCATTACATAAAGTCTTATACAATTCACAATAAAATTCAGTTCCAAGAAGTTCATCTTTCCTGTTATGCTTCCCTTTTATTTCTTTTTATCATATAATAAAAATTTTATAACTCCATATTACTCTTTTTGCTTTGTTGCCAAGAAGCTAGCAAATAAAATGTATTAAAGTACAATAAATACAATTATCTAAAGCTTTGATAGAATTATTTCCATCTTTCTGTATAATTTATTATATGTGTTTTTCTAATATAATTCTGATGATAGCTGGGTGTATGTGACAAATAATAAAATGATCAAAGTGCCTGAGGTATAATTAACAAATAAGCAATAAAGTAAGTAAAATCACTCCAGCACTAGCTTTGTACATAGACTGTTTCAACCTCTGGGAGAAAGACAAACAGAATAAAGAGCTTCTCTCTTTCCGAGCACTTGCATCTAACTCAGCTCCCTCTCTTCTCTTTACCTACACGGCCCATGCCCTGATGACGTAACTTTTCTATATTGCTTTATACCGCCATTTCTTCCAGAGAAAAAACTAAAATAATCATTTTAATTCTAGGGAAATCTGAGAAAACAGAATAGGTATTTACCAGAGACTTATTATTTATCTCACAATAGTAGTGATGGGTCTGTTTTGTTGGGAGCTGAATCTCTAGCACCTAGAGCAGCATCTGGCACACAGCAGGCACTCAACAAACAGCTGGATGAAAGAATGCGCTGTTATTAATACACTATCCATTGTCTTAGAATGTATAATAAAACAGTTAAGAAATTTTACTTTCGGCCTATTTTCATCAAAGGGCCATTCAGAATCCGCAAGAAAATAATGAAATAGGCTAGATGCCATTGCAATCAATACTACATAATCGTCGTAAACCTTATTTTTTTTTTAATATATTTTTTAAAATATTTTATTTATTTATTTTTAGAGAGGGAAGGGAGGGCGATAGAGAGAGAGAGAGAGAAACATCGATGTGCGGTTGCTGGGGTTTATGGCCTGCAACCCAGGAATGTACCCTGGCTGGGAATCGAACCTGGGACACTGTAAACCTTATTTTTAAAATATTGTTAGAGCCTAACATAATTTATGTAATATGTAAAACTGAAAAAAAATTAAAGCCCCATGATATGTTATCCTGGGCCTAAATAAAATATTTTGAATTTTTAATTTTACAAAATTTCAAAACCTACCTTCTCTTTTAAAAGTCGAAAGAGAATCCAAGGTATTATGCACAAAACATAGAGTACTATTGTGTGCTGATTACATAAGCTAAGGCCACAGCAGAAAGCACCGATTTTAGCTATCTGAAAATAAACAAGCGAAAAATCAGGTTAAATGCTCACCTAAAACTCTAAGCAAGCACAACAGTAAAAGGCCATTCTTTATAGTAAAACCAGGCATACCACAGGGCAGGTTAAAAATAAATCGCTTAGATGATTTACCAGTCACTAATATTTATCACCATTATTTTTTACTAATATTTTTCATTCTCATCAAATTATTGCGATTTGACCTTAAATGACTGTCTTCCAACTGAATTTCAGAAAGTCCCGTATGATAACTAGATAAGTCCTAACAGTAATAGGATATTGTATAATTCTTATTCAAGCAAAATCTGTAACTAAAATTCAGCAATTCTTTGCTTTACTTTTTCTCCTATTAAATTAAATAAATGAAATATAACACATGTAACATATTTAGAATCTGGTTACTGATGAGTAGTGTTTTCACTTTTTTTGAACATGTGTTATTTTCATAATCAGAAAAAAAAATTTACTTTAAACAAACAAATGAAAACCCTCGAAGAGCAGCACAGACCTGTCTCCAGAAACTACAGACAAACCACAGTGGTTTTTGTCCCTACATTCTCTGATGGCGCGGTGCTGCCTGCACTAAGGTGGTCTGGCACGGCGTGGACTGGAAGCTCTCAGGAGACAGGTGTCCTTTGTGTTTCAGAGTATCTTGATGATAGGGCCTGCCTTAGAATTTATTGTCATCTTTTCTGAACTACTTTATTTCACATTTGATATCTTCCTTTAAAAAGTACAAATGTGTTTTGTTTTTGTTTTTTTTGCAACTAGGGAATAAGTCAAGGTACCATATGGTATATAATTTAAAGTGGTTAGTCTAGAGCTTGGCATCTTACGATCACACATGCACACGCACACACACACACGTGGAGGAGCTAACCAACAGGCCCGTCTTTCCCACAGGACTCAAAGGGGGTTTGAGAACCTCTGATTCTCCAAAAGACTTCTGAACTCCAAGGGGGGAAAAGCCCATTTTTATAAAGTCTCTCATGGTTCACGGTAAAAGACCTGTGAATATTCTCTCTCCCAACATGCCTAAATTACCTTGACAGTAATCAGAACACATAAACAGTTACCTAAAACAAAGTTAAAAAGAAATTCAGCATGTATGTAAAAGTTAAAACAAAAAGTGATTTCATTTTGATCAAAATAGGTTACCTTTGATCTCTCTTGTGCAGTTGCTGCCTCCTCAAAGTGTACAGTAAGAGCCATAAGCAGCCCCACAAACAGATTGTTTAAGCTAAAAACCTCTGCTGCAATGGACCACTGCCATGTTAGACGAGAGAATGAAAACACCCCCGCAGCAAGGATTCCTCCAGCATATGAGCCAGAAAGCCTGCAAATACAGATAACATGAAATCTTCTTTCCCAACAAAAAGAACTGACTTTATTTTCCTTTTTATAAACTGTAGCAGCAGAATTTATGACAGTCACCCAGCACTCTCCCAACACATTACATGGCTAGTACATTCCTTCATGTAATAGTATTTTTCAACAGATTTTAATTAGGGAGTCCATATATTAACCTATTAACAAACAAATGAACAAACCTGTTTGGTGTCCTGTGGATGAAATGAGGTTTAGTTCTCAGATGTAACCTCTAGGATTCAAGCCAGTTCAGAAAGCCTGAAGAGATAGTAGCTAGAGAGATAACAAACCTGTGTCATTTTTCTTGCTATATCCACAAAGACTGATAATCTGGTTAAGACTGAAATGTGTTTAATTGTAAAAATGAATGAAATGCCAAAATATCAATTCAGGAACTCTTCATTCTCACTTCCTGGGAGTGTTTGGACCTAGGCACTTTCTACACTCACCTCCCAATGTATGGCAAAGCATGTTTTGGTCACAATATTTATGACCAAATATTCGGTGAGTTTAAGATTTTTGTTAGCTAAGTTCTTAATTTCTGATGATTTCTTTCTTACACAGAGTTAAAGTTAAAAATGATAATATTTTTTGAAAACAGGAACAGGTATGGGAATTTAATAATACAAAAGGAATCAAATGCTACACTTGGAAACAATATTCTCACTCCCCCAAATGCCAACCAGAGCCTTATATTTCAAATCTGTCAGGAACCTAGATTTCAATTCAGAGACAGGATTTGAAACTTGGTAACATGGTTGAATATACTAGTGCATATCAAAACAAAAAAACCTTCCTATTTCATTATGAATCTAAAGCTATGGAAATTAAAGCTATTACAAATATCTTTGTCTAACAAGTGTTATGAAATTCAGCAAGCATTAGTGTATCTAATAATTATGATATTATATGGCTCCACGGCATTACTTTTTAATTGTATTGTTTTGTATAAAAAGTTATGGGGTAATTCTATGGTTCTTAATTAACCCTTATAGGAAAAAAGTTAAATAAAAATTTTGTTATCACCAAACTTGTTTTTCTTTCAGTTTCTCTTTGCAACTTGTTTTCTTTCTTTAATAAAAATCATCATTTTCTTATTTCATCAGTGTCCATTCTCCCAGTTATCCTGATTCAAGAAACTGAAGTCATTTCTTCCTACCAAATTCCTTTCAATTTGTATTCCTAAGGACTTTCACTCAATTATTTCATTTTATTTTTAATATTTTATTTATTTATTTTTAGAGAGAAGGGAAGGAAGGAGAAAGAGGGAAAGAAACATCAATGTGAGAGAGAAACATGGATAGATTGCTTCCCGTACGCGTCCCAGTCAGGGACTAAAGCCGCAGCCCAGGCGTGTGCCCTGACTGGGGAGTGAACCGCATCCTTTTGCTTTGTGAGATGACACTCCAACCAAATGAGCCACACTGGTCAAGGCCGACTCAGTTATTTTAAGAGGTATCTAACTTGTCTTGTTTTTCTATCTATTCTGCAATATTACATCAGATTAAACTTCCTAAACATACTCTTTATTACCACCTGGCCCCCAAACTTTGGGACTCTTCATTGCCTGCAGGATAAATTTTTAATGAGTTGGCCTAAAGTCCAGGCTCCTGATAAACTGAACTCCACCCACCTAGCCACTAACTATCAACATTGTTTTCTCCACCAACTAGTCAGTCTTCTCAGAATTCTCTAGTGAAACATGCCTGTTGACAGTGTTATACCTTTGCTCAAGCTGTACCCTTGAATGGAAGCTATGTCCTCTCTGCTCCTTTGTATTTATTCAAACTCTATTCTTTTCTCAAATTTCTCTTCAATTCCCAGGTTTCTAGCCCATATCCGAACAGTATTTAATTGTCTGTAACCATTATTTTGACATTGTTTTTGAAATGTGAATTGGAGCTCAACTTCACCTATATTGGGAGCATCTAGCCCTAAACACAGACAGGAAACATAGTGAAATGAGAGAATGAATTATTCTTAAAGTATTAATACATTTTTAAAGGAACTTCTACAGTTCATCTGTTAATATTACTTTGGAAAGTCAATATAAGATACAAGGTTCCTTCCTCTACTTAAATATCATTTAGCATCTTCGGAGAAGTGGCTGATTCCAAGGCTGGGGTAGCTCGAGTACAGAATGAACCTGAACCACCTTGTGCCAGAAAGAAAGGGAGTGCTCGGAGATGTAACAAGGGACACGGGAGCCAGCTTAAGGTGGCTCCCACTAGACAATTTGGGAATAATTTGAGCATCAAAATAATTACAGTAATAGATTGTAATCCAATGAATAGATAAGACTCTATGAATGTATAGTGATATACATAAATGGGAGAGGAGAGAAAGTCCATAGGATGCCAACTAATAACTGTATAAGAAACGATGAAATTAGAAATCAGCATTGCACAACCATAATACTAATCAATGCGTACTAAACTAGTGGGTAAAGTTTTGCAGTGCCAGAAACATGTGCAGAGTCTAAAGGTATCCCCCCATAAACAGACTAATTATGAAAGGGAAAATGTTAACTTTACAGGGGCAGACGCCATCTAATCCACAGGATCACAGTGAACAGCCCAGTAATGGGACAAACAAACGACGTGTGCTTCCTGACCTCTTCAAGGAGAAGAATGCAACAGTGTATCTACGATGTTCCTGCCAAAAATACTTTACCTGAGTCTAACCAGGAAGGAAAAGACAAACTCAAATTGAAGGACGTTCTATAAAATCACTGGCTTATATGTATCAAAAAATGTAAAGGTCTTAAAAAACAAACAAAAAAAAACTCTATGAGGAACTGTTCCAGATTAAGAATTAACAGACACAACAATAGAACAAAAGGCAAATCTGAGATGTTCTTCTATGAAGTGCGTTGTTGGGACAACTGGCAAAATATGAGCCAAGTCTACAGATTAGATAATAATGTCATATCAATGATCATTCCCTGATTTTGAGAACTGCACTGTGGATATTGAAAAAAATAATCTTGTTTTTAAGAAACATACCCCAAGCCCTGGCTGGCGTAGCTCAGTGGATTGAGCGCGGGCTGGGAACCAAAGTGTCCCAGGTTCAATTCCCAGCCAGGGTACATGCCTGGGTTGCAGGCCATAACCCCCAGCAACCGCACATTAACATTTCTCTCTCTCTCTCTCTCTCTCTCTCTCTCTCTCTCTCTCTCTCCCCCTCCCTTCCCTCTCTAAAAATAAATAAATAAAATATTAAAAAAAAAAGAAACATACCCCAAAGTATAGTTATGGGTAAAAGAGTAGCATCCACTGTAGCTTACAAACAAAATAAATCAATGATGAAGAAAGTGCAGTAAAATATCACCATTTGGGGAACCTGGGTGAAGGTTATACAAAAATTGGGCCATTCTTGCCACTTCTCTATAAACCTAAAATTATCTTAAAAATAAAAAGTTAAAAAAATAAAATCAATAAATTCCTCAGATAATTTGCTAACATTTATTGACTTTTTTTGCCTGCCATGTGCCAGGTATTGTTCTAAGTGCTTACCATATATAATACCATATAATTTTAATCATATTCCACGTAAAGATACTGTTGATTTATTTTCAAATGAAGAAATGGAATCCCAGAGAGGCAAAGCGATTTTTCCAAGGTCCTATGACAATTAACCAGGATTCAAATTGTTAGTCTAGCTATTTAGTACCACTGAATTATAGGGTAAAAGATGGTCATTTTAGTTTTAATGTCAAATAATTTATTCTGTATTAATGATATAAAGTACTTTTATTTGGTTAGATATGCACCCCCTGGAGTGAAGAACAGACTAGAATAAAAGTTATGTCAACTATTAGAATTGTGTTTATTTCTCTCTTATCAAAACAACACACTATCTGCTTGAATTGTGTTCAACATTTCTCAAGACTGGTTTTTACCTTTCCCTCTCCCGCCAACCCAGGAAAGAGCAATCAGTCAAAATTTAAAACCACCAGTTAATTAAAGAGAACTGAAAGAGGTGACAGTCCTGAAACGTATGAATTCTCAGGAAAAAAAACTCAAGACTCATTAATCTACAATGATTTTTAACACGTTATTATGCTCAGGAAGACATCCTGAAGTGTTTGAATTGCTGGCATGAATTATTGGAATTAACTGCCTTCTCAATTATTTCATAAGGTTTTAAAAATTGAAGAGTAAAGTAAAATGATCAACTTCAGTGACAAAATTTATCCAGTCACCTTAGACTATTAGTTAGTTGCATACATTAGCATTTTATCGAAGACTAATCCTACATTAGCAAGGCCTATAATCTGAATCTCTGCCCATCCCCCATGCTAAGGTCAGGATGGTCTTGCAAAGAATAATTCACAGATTCTTACAATTGATCTTCCTTGATATCAGCGAAATAATTTGTTAGACTGCTGAGGAAAGTTATAGAAGAGTGGTAACTGATTATAAAACCATTAATGGAAATGAAAGCTATAATCTTGATCTTTTTAGCATCTAAATGAGCTTGCTTAGAAATCAAAGTAAGTCTTACAGGAGCTTGTACTGTAGTCCTAATATAAAGTAAAAACAAAAGGGTGATCTTTTGTTTTTAAACTTTCTGCTCAACATTCATAATCCCTTTCTATGCTTGAGGCATACCCAGCTTATAAGGCATAGTACCCTCCTATTATACATGCTGAAAATACAACATACCATCCAGCCTCCCTTGCAGCTACAGCATGAGGTGTGTGACCTGGGCTCTGCCTGTCAGAAGCACCCATTCCATTCTTTCAACTGGAAACTGGTGAGGCAAGGAAGCAGGTATGGGGATAGTATACAGTCAGACATGGCTGGTGGCATTTCTATAACATTTCCATAGAAAACAATGGCAGCACTTTCAGGGCAATGTTCAGAATCCAGGTAACCTGGGGGCCTGGTGCCCAGAGATGACAGCCCGTGGTGGTTTCACTAGAACATACCTGCCTAGGACTATAGATGTTCTAGGCTCAGAGAC